GAAATCTCCATCAATTACATAAATAATGGGAAACTTTGGAAGCGTGATGAAATCATTGATGATGCATTCGCATATATGGTATCACAAGAAATTGACAAAGAAGTTGAAGATCCTGAACCAAAATCTATGATTGAATGTTAGAAAAGACATGATTGGGACAAGTGGAAAGGTGCTATTCAAGCCGAGTTAAATTCGCTTAATAAACGGAAGGTTTTTGGACCTATTACCATTATACCCAAAGACATAAAACCTATTAAATACAGATGGGTTTTTGTCAGAAAAAGAAATGAGAAAAATGAGATCACAAGATATAAAGCTCGCCTTGTAGCACAGGGATTCTCCCAGAGGCCGGGGATCGATTATGATGAAACATATTCCCCTGTTATGGATGCAATTACTTTCAGATACTTAATTAGTTTAGCCATCCATGAAAATCTTGAGATGCGTCTCATGGATGTTGTGACTACTTACTTACATGGATCGCTAGACGCTGACATTTATATGAAAATTCCAGAAGGAATTAGAATACCCGAAGCACTAAAATCCAAACCTAAAGAGTTATGTGCGATAAAACTGCAAAGATCATTGTATGGCTTGAAACAATCCGGACGTATGTGGATTAATTGTTTGAGTGAACAATTACTAAAACGGGGATACATAAATAATCAAATATGCCCATGTGTCTTTATAAAAAGATCACAAGATGGAGTTGTGATAATTGATGTCTATGTCGATGATCTTAATATTATTGGGACTACAAATGAAATTCAAGAAGCAGTCACTTTACTAAAAGGCGAATTTGAAATGAAAGATCTCGGACAGACCAAATATTGTCTCGGCTTGCAAATAGAACGAGTCCAAAATGGGATATTTGTCCATCAATCTAATTACACTAAAAGAATATTGAAACGATTGAATATGGACAAGGCTAATCCACTTAGTACCCCAATGGTCAATCAAACATTAGATGTTAAAAAGGATCCATTTCGACCTTGTGAAGAAGATGAAGAAATACTTAGTCCTGAAATACCATATATGAGTGCAATAGGAGCCCTTATGTATCTTGTTAATTGCACCAGACCAGATATATCTTTCGCTACCAACTTATTAAAAATATATAACTCGGCACCTACGAGGAGACATTGGAATGAAATCAAACATATATTTCGTTATCTCCAAGGGACAATCGATTTGGGATTGTTTTACTCTAATGATAAAAAACATGAAATAATCGGTTTTGCAGATGCATAATATCTATCAGACCCCCATAAAGCAAGATCTCAAACCGGCTATGTTTTCACGATGGGTGGAACTGCATTTTCTTGGCGCTCCCAGAAACAAACATTAGTTGCGACGTCTTCAAACCATGCTGAGATCATTGCACTTCATGAAGCAACTAGGGAAAGCATCTGGCTCAGAAACATGACTCAACATATTCAACAAGCCAGTGGACTATCGAATAATAAAGATCCAACGGTGATATTCGAAGACAATGCAGCATGTGTCGCTCAAACCAAAGAAGGATACATTAAGAGTGACATAACTAAACATATCCCGCAAAAGTTCTTCTCATATGCTCAAGATCTTGAAAGAAACAAACAAATCAAAGTTCAATACATTCG